TATGTCGGTATATTAAAACCTGGTTTCTGTGTGTTATGTTCTGTATGTCGGTATATTAAACCTGGTTTCTGTGTGTTATGTTCTGTATGTCGGTATATTAAAACCTGGTTTCTGTGTGTTATGTTCTGTATGTCGGTATATTAAAACCTGGTTTCTGTGTGTTATGTTCTGTATGTCGGTATATTAAAACCTGGTTTCAGTGTGTTATGTTCTGTATGTCGGTATATTAAAACCTGTTTTTTGTGTGTTATGTTCTGTATGTCGGTATATTAAAACCTGTTTTTTGTGTGTTATGTTCTGTATGTATATTAAAACCTGTTTTTGTGTGTGTTATGTTCTGTATGTATATTAAAACCTGTTTTTTGTGTGTTATGTTCTGTATGTCAGTATATTAAAACCTGGTTTCTGTGTGTTATGTTCTGTATGTCAGTATATTAAAACCTGTTTTTTGTGTGTTATGTTCTGTATGTCGGTATATTAAACCTGGTTTCTGTGTGTTATGTTCTGTATGTCGGTATATTAAACCTGGTTTCTGTGTTATGTTCTGTATGTCGGTATATTAAAACCTGTTTTTTGTGTGTTATGTTCTGTATGTCGGTATATTAAACCTGGTTTCTGTGTGTAATGTTCTGTATGTCAGTATATTAAACCTGGTTTCTGTGTGTTATGTTCTGTATGTCGGTATATTAAACCTGGTTTCAGTGTGTTATAATCTGTATGTCGGTATATTAAAACCTGTTTTTGTGTGTTATGTTCTGTACTAATGCTTATCAAACAAGTCAATTCAGTTTCAAGCATGCTCACTGATCAAATTATTGTCGTGATCAGAATATCCGTATCTTATGCTTTTTTCCCACAGTTCACCAAGACTCCACAGTGTCTTGATGTACTGTGCTAATTCATTCTGATTAATTCTTTTGATTCAGCTAGTTCAGTTTACAGATTAGTTTCCATGTAATCCTTAAGTCTACAGCAGTTTATAATTTCACATCATGAACATTTGATATAATAAGTTATTATTCTGTTATTACGATAACCTGTCCACCTTCGGGAGTGTTAACAGGGAATTTCGAGTTACCGTTATTTGGACTATAATCGTTACGTCATCAATAACAACATACCTATATACGCTGAGGAACCAAAAAGTCGCTTTGGAGTAAAAATTAATTTTAATTTCAAGTAGACTGCACTTTCTTATTTGCGAATAAGCTATTGTTATTGTTATTAATAAAACAGCTGTTACAAGTACAATTGTTCAGAATCTTTCATATACAAAATTAATTCAAAGTAAGCTGAATTTGAAGAAATGTTTCATATAATAAAACAATCATTGACTACGGCCTCGGTGAATATCGCTTCTGCGGGTTGATCAATCCTTGTATCAACCTAATAAAGAGTCGATAATTGTATAGTGTATATAGATATCACTATTATAATGATATGTTACATATATACAGAATACGTACGAACTGTTTGTGTATTACCTACAATCACCCTACATAACATTGATTATTGGAGCCGAAAGTGGTCACACCAGTATATTCATCAAATATACATATATGATACCATATAATTTTTATAATGTTTGTTGATGAAACATGTCTTATAAAATATACTATATAAACATCCATCATTCATCTAGGTCCTGTCACACAAAGTCCATACTAAATGTTTACAGACCTCCGTGAACGTTTGTTCTGTCGTCTCCTGCTTATGGTGTACTTTGTAAGCTCCATATTCCAACATTCTTCGTGAACTCCATGTTTTGACCTCCTACGTGAACTCCATGTTCTGACCTCCTTCGTGAACTCCATGTTCTGACTTCCTTCGTGAACTCCATGTTCTGACATCCTACGTGAACTCCATTTTCTGGACTCCTTCGTGAACTCCATGTTCTGACATCCTACGTGAACTCCATGTTCTGACCTCCTTCGTGAACTCCATGTTCTGACATCCTACGTGAACTTCATTTTCTGGACTCCTTCGTGAACTCCATGTTCTCACTTCCTTCGTGAACTCCATGTTCTGACCTCCTTCGTGAACTCCATGTTCTGACATCCTACGTGAACTCCATTTTCTGGACTCCTTCGTGAACTCCATGTTCTCACTTCCTTCGTGAACTCCGTGTTCTGACCTCCTTCGTGAACTCCGTGTTCTGACCTTCTTCGTGAACTCCATGTTCTGACATCCTACGTGAACTCCATTTTCTGGACTCCTTCGTGAACTCCATGTTCTCACTTCCTTCGTGAACTCCATGTTCTGACCTCCTTCGTGAACTCCGTGTTCTGACCTCCTTCGTGAACTCCATGTTCTGACATCCTACATGAACTCCATTTTCTGGACTCCGTGAACTCCATGTTCTCACTTCCTTCGTGAACTCCATGTTCTGATCTCCTTCGTGAACTCCGTGTTCTCCCCTCCTTCGTGAACTCCGTGTTCTGATCTCCTTCGTGAACTCCGTGTTCTCACCTCCTTCGTGAACTCCATGTTCTGACCTCCTTCGTGAACTCCATGTTCTGACCTCCTACGTGAACTCCGTGTTCTGACCTTCTTCGTGAACTCCATGTTCTGACATCCTACGTGAACTCCATTTTCTGGACTCCTTCGTGAACTCCATGTTCTCACTTCCTTCGTGAACTCCATGTTCTGACCTCCTTCGTGAACTCCGTGTTCTGACCTCCTTCGTGAACTCCATGTTCTGACATCCTACATGAACTCCATTTTCTGGACTCCGTGAACCCCATGTTCTCACTTCCTTCGTGAACTCCATGTTCTGACCTCCTTCGTGAACTCCGTGTTCTCCCCTCCTTCGTGAACTCCGTGTTCTGATCTCCTTCGTGAACTCCGTGTTCTCACCTTCTTCGTGAACTCCATGTTCTGACCTCCTTCGTGAACTCCATGTTCTGACCTCCTACGTGAACTCCATTTTCTGGACTCCTTCGTGAACTCCATGTTCTCACTTCCTTCGTGAACTCCATGTTACCTGACCTCCTTCGTGAACTCCGTGTTCTCCCCTCCTTCGTGAACTCCATGTTCTGATCTCCTTCGTGAACTCCGTGTTCTCACCTCCTTCGTGAACTCCATGTTCTGACATCCTTCGTGAACTCCATGTTCTGACCTCCTTCGTGAACTCCATGTTCTGACATCCTACGTGAACTCCATGTTCTGGCCTCCTTCGTGAACTCCATGTTCTGGCCTCCTACGTGAACTCCATGTTCTCACTTCCTTCGTGAACTCCATGTTCTGACATCCTACGTGAACTCCATATTCTGATTTCCTTCGTGAACTCCGTGTTCTCACCTCCTTCGTGAACTCCATGTTCTGACATCCTACGTGAACTCCATATTCTGATTTCCTTCGTGAACTCCGTGTTCTCACCTCCTTCGTGAACTCCATGTTCTGACATCCTAAGTGAACTCCATGTTCTGGCCTCCTACGTGAACTCCATGTTCTCACTTCCTTCGTGAACTCCATGTTCTGACATCCTACGTGAACTCCATATTCTGATTTCCTTCGTGAACTCCGTGTTCTCACCTCCTTCGTGAACTCCATGTTCTGACATCCTACGTGAACTCCATATTCTGATTTCCTTCGTGAACTCCGTGTTCTCACCTCCTTCGTGAACTCCATGTTCTGACATCCTAAGTGAACTCCATGTTCTGACATCCTACGTGAACTCCATTTTCTGGACTCCTTCGTGAACTCCGTGTTCTCACCTCCTTCGTGAACTCCATGTTCTGACCTCCTTCGTGAACTCCATGTTCTGACATCCTAAGTGAACTCCATGTTCTGACATCCTACGTGAACTCCATGTTCTGGCCTCCTTCGTGAACTCCATGTTCTGGCCTCCTACGTGAACTCCATGTTCTCACTTCCTTCGTGAACTCCATGTTACCTGACCTCCTTCGTGAACTCCGTGTTCTCCCCTCCTTCGTGAACTCCATGTTCTGATCTCCTTCGTGAACTCCGTGTTCTCACCTCCTTCGTGAACTCCATGTTCTGACATCCTTCGTGAACTCCATGTTCTGACCTCCTTCGTGAACTCCATGTTCTGACATCCTACGTGAACTCCATGTTCTGGCCTCCTTCGTGAACTCCATGTTCTGGCCTCCTACGTGAACTCCATGTTCTCACTTCCTTCGTTAACTCCATGTTCTGACATCCTACGTGAACTCCATATTCTGATTTCCTTCGTGAACTCCGTGTTCTCACCTCCTTCGTGAACTCCATGTTCTGACATCCTACGTGAACTCCATATTCTGATTTCCTTCGTGAACTCCGTGTTCTCACCTCCTTCGTGAACTCCATGTTCTGACATCCTAAGTGAACTCCATGTTCTGACATCCTACGTGAACTCCATTTTCTGGACTCCTTCGTGAACTCCGTGTTCTCACCTCCTTCGTGAACTCCATGTTCTGACCTCCTTCGTGAACTCCATGTTCTGACATCCTAAGTGAACTCCATGTTCTGACATCCTACGTGAACTCCATGTTCTGGCCTCCTTCGTGAACTCCATGTTCTGGCCTCCTACGTGAACTCCATGTTCTGACCTCCTTCGTGAACTCCATGTTCTGTCATTCTCCGCGAAGTTTTAGTTTCAACTTACCGTCTATGGGAACAGTTTACTATTTTCTTTACTGTCAGTTAACTCCGAATTCTGCTTGTCCTTCTCATATGTTACATCCAGCCATTTTTGTACAGACTAGAGTGATAACTGACTAGTATAAAAGGATTCCAGGTTATCTAGGATTTGAAATCTCGTCAAAGCGCACATAAACAATACAAAATCTTCGTTAATGCCATTAACACAACAATATCTTTGATTTTGGATGAAATATATAAAATGGTTAGTACTTAAATCTAGGCACACTATGCTTAGTTTGGATGGAACTTGATTTTGGGCGTGGTTATTATTTGTTTTCCCTGACGCTGCCAGTTTCCGAAAGATAATGACGTATTATTAGCACAGTTCCATGTTCTGTAAGACGTTCACTTCCGGTCTAAATATCATGCCTGTTCAGGTGGAATCCCCAATTCGTGTCTCTGAGAAATGAAAAAAAAAGGTATTCCATGATAGCAGTTGAAAGATTGAACAAAAGACATACAAATAAATAACACCTTTCAATACAAATTTACATAGATGCAGAACCGACAGATATATTTGCATCATACAGCTGTTTCGTCCTACCAGGACTTGTCAGTGATGCTACATCATACAACTGTTTCGTCCTTCTAGGACTCGTCAGTGATGCTACATCATATAGCTGTTTCGTCCTTCTAGGACTCGTCAGTAATGTTACATCATACAGCTGTTTCGTCTTTCTAGGACTCGTCAGTAATGTTACATCATACACCTGTTTCGTCCTTCTAGGACTCGTCAGTAATGTTACATCATACAGCAGTTTCGTCCTTCTAGGACTTGTTAGTGATGCTACATCTACAGTTGTTTCGTCCTTCTAGGACTCGTCAGTGATACTACATCATACAGCTGTTTCGTCCTTCTAGGACTCGTCAGTAATGTTACATCATACACCTGTTTCGTCCTTCTAGGACTCGTCGATAATATTACATCATACACCTGTTTCGTCCTTCTAGGACTCGTCAGTAATGTTACATCATACAGCTGTTTCGTCCTTCTAGGACTCGTCAGTAATGTTACATCATACAGCTGTTTCGTCCTTCTAGGACTCGTCAGTAATGTTACATCATACAGCTGTTTCGTCCTTCTAGGCCTCGTCAGTGATGTTACATCATACACCTGTTTCGTCCTTCTAGGACTCGTCAGTAATGTTACATCATACAGCTGTTTCGTCCTTCTAGGACTCGTCAGTAATGTTACATCATACACCTGTTTCGTCCTTCTAGGACTCGTCAGTAATGTTACATCATACAGCTGTTTCGTCCTTCTAGGACTCGTCAGTAATGGTACATCATACAGCTGTTTCGTCCTTCTAGGACTCGTCAGTGATGTTACATTACACAGCTGTTTCGTCCTTGTAGGACTTGTCAGACCTAGGAGATGACTAAGGTATGTTAAAATTTATGGAATAAAATGGATTGGTTTGGGGACGCATCGGGTTCAAAATTCAATCAATCTTATTTTCATACATCTAATGATTTGAAGAGAAAAGTACATGCGTATATTTTGAAGTGAATTAAAAAGTGGCATACAGGATTCATATTCACAGGAATGTAGTAATGACAACAAAGTACGTTAAAGGGGCATTGAATGTTTAGTGATGTTTTATAAGAAAACACCAAAAGATATACCCATGTTCTTACATAAATTATACGCCTCAATTCACCACGTATACACATTGTGTGTATATCTAGACAGACCGATTCCCATTTTTGTTAAACCGACAAGATTAAATCCAAACAAAACAATGGAATTCCAAACTTATTTTCAGAAATTATAATTGAAGTGTACAGACTTGTGAATTTACCCAACACTGTACATAAAATCTAGGATTTAGTCAGTGACTGATTTCCGGATTCCCCAAATTTATTCAGTCTAATTTTATATCAATATAGGGTATTTTCATCAGTTTCGTCTGTCCAAACTGACCTTAGGAAAGATAATTTTATGCCGACAATAATTTTAAAAGTCATTACAAAAAGATTTCTCAAAATGGTACAAAACATGCAGGTATGGAAGGCATCCACTAAGGTCCTGGAATAAACACGTATTAACTACCCTGTACACTACATTGTCCGTTACTGTTTTCACACAAGTCTTTAAAAGCTAGGAACATTGTCCGTAATTGTTTTCACACAAATCTTTAAAGCTAGGAACATTGTTTTCACACAAGTTTTTAAAGCTGTTTTCACACACAGTCTTTAAAGCTAGGAACATTGTCCGTTACTGTTTTCACACAAGTCTTTAAAGCTAGGAACATTGTCCGTTACTGTTTTCACACAAGTCTTTAAAGCTAGGAACATTGTCCGTTACTGTTTTCACACAAGTCTTTAAAGCTAGGAACATTTTCCGTAATTGTTTTCACACAAATCTTTAAAGCTAGGAACATTGTCCGTTACTGTTTTCACACAAGTTTTTAAAGCTAGGAACATTGTCCGTTACTGTTTTCACACAAGTCTTTAAAGCTAGGAACATTGTCCGTTACTGTTTTCACACAAGTCTTTAAAGCTAGGAACATTATCCGTTACTGTTTTCACACAAGTCTTTAAAGCTAGGAACATTGTCCGTTACTGTTTTCACACAAGTCTTTAAAGCTAGGAACATTGTTTGTTACTGTTTTCACACAAGTCTTTAAAGCTAGGAACATTGTCCGTTACTGTTTTCAAACAAGTCTTTAAAGCTAGGAACATTGTCCGTTATTGTTTTCAAACAAGTCTTTAAAGCTAGGAACATTGTCTGTTACTGTTTTCACACAAGTCTTTAAAGCTGGGAACATTGTCCGTTACTGTTTTCACACACGTCTTTTAAGCTAGGAAGTGTGACGTCAGTCTAATCATTTGCTCATATCACAATGAGTTTCCGGTTAGAGAGTATTATGTCAAGGGAGATAACTCAGAGAGGTAAAGCCATAACGATAGGAAGACGATATAGTATTGTAGCATATATTTGCGTATTTACATGCCGAGATCGGTATACTTTGTAAATATGATAATTTCTTCAACTGCAATTACATTTGTAAAGGAAAACTGAGAGCAAAGTATGTTTTGGAAAGTAAATATGAACATCATAAAGTTAAAGAGAATTGCACTTAAATATACGGTGTTAATTTGTTCTTTCCTCAATAAACATTAGGAAATGATCTCGCATGGAATATGTATATGTACGTATTGATAAATATAAAGATGTTAGTAACACTGCCATCCATACTTAAGATAGGAAGTAAAATGACACATCATGCTGACAGTCACGTGATACATACACAGGGCGCCACAGGAAGGGGTCACGGCCATGGAATAGAGCTCTCCTGTTGACAGAGGAACAAAAACTAATAAGGCCCGAATAAAACATGGAATGATTTATGAATGTGACAAATCACGTGGTCAATGGTTTGTTTTTAACTCTCAATGTTTTAATATAAATGGTGTTTCACCTTCGTAAAACTAAGATATCTTTGTAGCAATTGAGATAAACGAGGATTTAATTCCAGATTAACATATTTTACAGGTATATTCACTTTCATGAACATTCGGTTGTTTGTTTTTTCTAAAGAAGAGAACTTTATACACGTAAATTAACGGATGTAACTAAAAAGAAAATGTTAAACCTTGAAAGAACGTAGCCTTTGATAAATTGCATTTGTGAATTTTTATTTCTGAAGCCGGAAGATGCTGAAACTAAACATTAACAAAACAAATTATAAGTAGGTGACACTGCGGATTGCTGGATTGATTACATAGAATGAACGCTTGAGTCACTGTTTTATGTCTGACAGACAAAAGGCAATTCGCACCCACTACCAACATATTTTTATAGAGTTACCTCCCTTTTATGATGTTGATACAGATGTCGCTGTAATCGGACCTGTATCCCTCTGTAAACTGAGAATTATTCAACGATGTATGTTGACTAAAACTCAAATATTTTGTATTTGTAACTTCTTGATACAGAGGAACTATTTACAATTTTCCATTTATAATCCTCACATCACGTGATTTTGTGTGAAGTTGTTACCAACGATACTTGATGTTATAACACCTAGTGAGGTCGTTCTAATTGTAAATAAAGGTACCTGATGTTCACAGTCACGTCTCGGTAAATCCTTACATGTAATAAGTACGTTTATTGCGAGACAAACAGATTCCAGATAAACTGGTACTCACAATGTGTTGTAAAATCATACAAGCGATAAGTCACTTACGTGTTAAATTCGTCCACATATCTCATGTCTGTCTGGGATGACCAATCCGCCCTTACCCTGAAAACACATTGTCACGTGATCAATGGTTAATTACATAAATGTAGGTCTTGTTTGGTGTTCAAGTTTTCTTATATTTAATCAACACGATAGATTTTCTGATCAAATCCTGAAGTAAACCTCAGTTATTGTATGTTACTTCACATCAAACCTGCATCATTTCACATCAGTTCGCCATGATTTTAACAATAACCGCACTTTAGATTATAAAATCTTTCATGCTATGTTCAAATCGGAACGACCTAAGAAAAGTATCCATATTAATGATATATCGAAACACAATCTGGATACATAACTAACCATGCAGGGGTTTCAATACGCGAAACATATAAATAACTGTTTTATAGAAATATGATTAAAATAGTACAAAAGACAAAGGAATGACGACTTTTAATAATTTAGAGTCAGACAATAAATTAAATTGATTTTGGTTAATCTATTTCATAAACATTGAATGTACCGGATCAAGATTGGATTCAGATATTCAGCCTAAAGATACGTGTCGGATGTGGAATGATAAAGTTTGTCGGATGTGGAAAGATAAAGCTTGTCGGATGTGGAATGATAAAGTTTGTTGGATGTGGAATGATAAAGCTTGTCGGATGTGGAATGATAAAGTTTGTTGGATGTGGAAAGATAAAGCTTGTCGGATGTGGAATGATAAAGTTTGTTGGATGTGGAATGATAAAGTTTGTCGGATGTGGAAAGATAAAGCTTGTCGGATGTGAACAAGATAAATTTTGTCGGATATGGAATGATAAAGTTTGTCGGATGTGGAAAGATAAAGCTTGTCGGATGTGGAAAGATAAATCTTGTCGGATGTGAACAAGATAAATTTTGTCGGATATGGAATGATAAAGCTTGTCGGATGTGGAAAGATAAAGCTTGTCGGATGTGGAATGATAAAGCTTGTCGGATGTGGAAAGATAAATCTTGTCGGATGTGAACAAGATAAATTTTGTCGGATATGGAATGATAAAGTTTGTCGGATGTGGAAAGATAAATCTTGTCGGATGTGAACAAGATTAATTTTGTCGGATATGAAATGATAAAGCTTGTCGGATGTGGAATTATAAAGCTTGTCAGAATTGGAATGATAAAGCTTGTCGAATTTGGAATGATAAAGTTTGTCGGATGAATGAATCATATGACAGATCAATAAGTTAAAGAGGCGTGACTTTGTTATAGATACAAGTCAACTGGTACAGTAAACGACCGCAAGAGGGCGTGAGGCTAAATGTGACTTCACAAAGGGAGGCCAGCTTTATAACAAACAGTTATTTGGCAGGTATAAGACCTACATCTGAGTAGATCAATCAACAGAGAAACACGGTTAGTAACAGGTAAAACGGGAAGTCTGTGGACAATGGTACGACACTTCAGAAAATGTCAGATACCATTAGAAAAAACCTCCTTAACAAAGTCCACGAGGAAAAGCGTTTAGTGTGGGCATATGAATGTAAGAAATAAAGAGAAAAGGATTAGGAATATGAAGGGTGGAAAGATGAAGGAGAAAAAGAGAGACGTTCCAGCAGAAATATAAAGACATGACTGTAAAACACGTGACAAGTGACCATGTTAAGGGGGTTTCATAAACTCTCAGTTCGTCTGTGTTCTGAAAACAATGCATTTTGGAATATTGAAAATTAACAAAAGGAAATCGTAAATGGCCTTCACTAAGTATGTGTTTCAACAAGATTTAGCATATTTCCATAACTCATACTCCACTTGTGTGCTTTACTACAGGATAAGATGATACGGGTATTCCACATGACCAAAGCGAGTAACAGCAGTGATCGAAGCTAAAGGAGGTGTTACGATGTGCTTAGTTTAGTTCAAAATGTATTCTTCAAATAAGATATACAATAAACTGCCTTTAAAATTGCGTTGATATTCGTCTCGTGAATTCAAACACTGGATGAAGAAATTTCTACTGTTACGTCTTCTCTGTCATTTCTCTATCTCACAGGGTAAATAGGAGTTAGTGTCTGTAAACGTCCTGTTTAATTTGTATTCGTTACTGTCCGTGCATTTACGTGTTTGTCCTTATTTGGTGTGTTACAGAAGTGTACATGTCCAGGTGTGACAGGTGAAGAAGTCGTGCGAGAGTGAGTGTGTAGGGTTATAAAACTAGGGATACCCCTGGGTGCTGGGCAGAATCACAGACTAACCACGTCGCTCTGGACGTCCTCGGGAGTCCAGGTGCCACATATAGCTACGGTTAAGTTACTGACACGACCCGACGGTCGGTGTAGTGAGGTGGTTGTAATCCTAAACCAGGGGTATTAATAAAAACGTTCAACACACAACGAATTCGAGTTGATGGTGTGACATCTAAATGGTCTGTGAAAGTATATATATGAAGTATGTTTGTGTGTAACTGAATATATGGAATTTGTTGTGTGCAGGCATGTATCTGTATGATTGCCTATGTTTGCACAGCAATACTTGATGTGCGTGGTGTGTTTATATGTGAACCACTGCAGAAATATGAATGGTTGATATTGTGAATTGGTGAGTTTTATGTGATACAATCTGAATTCGAAATAAAAATTCAAACTTTTTTTGTAAAACAATCAAATGTTCATAGACAAGCATATGGACGACAACCAATTCCATCCAAAGGTACGCCAAATAGAGGCGTTTAAAAAACTTTGGTAAATGGCCATATAGAATGTAGTTACAGTAGAATCGAAAGGTGAAACGGTCCTTGTATGAAATGTTATCGAAGTTTTTCTGTTTATCTCCTGGTTAATCATCTTTTTTAGCTTAATTTTATTGCATACGGAACGCAACCTGTTCTCCAGTAGTTCCCTAGATCTACAACTATAACTTAAATATAAAATCTACAGATTAATTACATTTCCGCATTATGATATTCCGATATGACGTATCTGAAGATCTCATACTCACAAGTCAGAGTTATTCCGTGGAAGACGAGAAACTGGTGCGGAGCGTTCGGAACTCCCGACTTGTCCTCGGTAAGGTGGATTTCTCCAATTTCCAACCTGAAAACCGTAATCACTCTGAGCTTTTTCCTGTCTGTTGTTAATCTCGCTTACAGGTCGATCCCGTTCTTTGTCTCGATGACTTTGTTTCCGGTTCCGGTCTGGGTCACCTTTATAAATATAGAACATCTGGGCCCCGCGGGTGCCTTTAGTCAATGACCCTGTGACAGAGTGGGCTTTTTGTGGCCGGGTATCTACGGGACGACTGTAAATGGAAATTAATACATTGCTTACCCAGATATATCAAACTTCATGTGACACGATCAGCATTGAGAGTGGAAGATCCTAACTCGTTATTGTGTACAAACATCACTATCGAATCCGGGAACGTGCAAGGGAGATTGGAGTAGTAAGTGCAAAAACATGGACAAAATCATGAGCGAGACAAAATCTTGGAAGGAATGCCAATAATCCTACCCATGAACATTCCAATGTTGTACGCCATATCTTCTGTAAAGTTGGTAATATTCTTGAGGGATTTAGTTCGCTTTATGTACCACCGAACATTTATACATTACAGAGAACATATCTAATGCCTTTCTCCATGGACACAAGTTCGTAGATATACGTATAAGTAAGTATCCGCGAACTAGCCAGGGTAAAACTACGAAAGACCAGCCCTACGAACGCAAACACATTTACGTATTCAGCTTGAAAGAATGACATTCCAGACGACAAGAACAACAACAGGTAGGAGCTAAAATCATGTCATCTCGCTAGACACAGCGGCAAGGCGAACTGGAAAAGGTCATCAATATTTGCAAACTTTGAGAATGATACCTACAAGATGACGACTCAAGAAAAAGTTTTGTGCAGATGGCAAACCCATCCTTCGAACAGGACTTTTGAAACACGTTAGAATGTTATTTCATCAGAATAAAGAAGTTTCAGAATCCTGGGATTGTTACAAAATTCCTTCTGTAAATATTTTCTTATTTACTCGCTTTAATGATAAGATCTTGATTTAGCACAGAAAACAACCAGAAAAGGCAGGGTAACCATAGCAACGACGAATGTGTTAGTGGGTTTTTACTTTATCAACCAAGTGCAATGGAATTTCTGAAGTTTTTATTGCTGTAGTAACCCTATCTCCTACTTTAAAAGTAGTTTTAATGTTCTCTGAGACTAAGTCTTCGTTACTAGAAAAAACAGCAATAAGCTATAATAAACAAGTTACAAAACCACTTTTCACTGATATAGGCACGGGTTCACTGATAAAGGCATGAGTCATTTATAAAGGCACGGGTTCGTTGATAAAGGAGCAGGTTCACTGAAAAAAGCACGGGTTCATTAATAAAGGCATGGGTCCACTGATATAGGCACTAGTTCATTGATAAAGGCACAGGTTCACTGATATAGACACGGGTCCACTGATATAGGCACTGGTCCACTGATAAAGGCACGGGTCCATTGATAAAGGTACTGGTTCACTGATAAAGGTGCGGGATTGAAAAAAGCTAACATTTTCCCCAAAATATTTGTGTAAGAATCGCCGATAAAAGAAGTATTCCCTAACAAAATGTATTGGTAAATATAGTGGGTATAACCAGTTGACAGGGGGTTCCGGGTAAGGAGCTGGGTAAGTGGGTTAGAGCTCACCTGTTTGTTAAAATAAATAATCAGATGCTGAATACATCTTGTAATAAAACGGAGAGCAACACTGGCAACGAAATTATCATTTTAGGTCAGACATTCTCAGGAGAACTGGTTCACTAATTTTGGAATGAAAAAACGACCTGCAATATTTCCTAAAACTATATATAGCTAAATATTTTACTTTTAACACTTCTAACGGCTGAATAACTTATTTCACCCATATACTGTCCATCAGATGTATTTACCTTCCTTTTGTTCTGGAAATATTGTGATCGCAGTAAGACCGTATTGTCTCATTTCCAATTAGTTTATAAATTGATCTTACTCTTCCCTCTAATACCGATTTTAGTGGTGATTGTCACATATTTACCACGTACCGTAGACAAAATACTTATCATCCAACGTTTCACCTACTAACCTGTACGTGACGTCAACACTTGTACTTCGAGGTCTGTAGCGGTTATCGTTCTTGTCAAGGACAGATTCATCTCGTCGGTAAGACGTTTCATATCCACTGTATGGATTATCTCCCCTATACGGGTTATCGGTCCTGTATAAGTTGTCGGCACGGTATGAGGGAGGGGCGCTGGACATCGGAGGCAAAACGTAGGAAACCTCTTCAGTGTAACCTTTGTTTGTTTGGAAACCTTTGTTTGCTGACCTTCAAATAACCAGGAAAACAACACAAAATAAAGGTGAAACAACTTTAACGTTTCGTTAGTAAGTATTGAAGACGTCATCAATAGATGGATATGTATGAATTATCTCCCCTGCCTGGTTAATGTATAACACACTGCGTGCCAGTGAAATAATTACTAATAGACATAACAGTTAGGATTTAAACAAGTTAGTTTCTAAATATCAATGGAATTCAATGCTCCTGTTCACTTCAGTAGTAACTAGTTATATAAATTAGGCAGGTCCCAAGTCTTACAACCCTGCTTAATCAGGAATAGCAAAACACAATACTTACTTCACCATTACCAACACACAGCTTTAAACTTGACACGAAGCAAACTCCAAATTCAACCAATGAAATAATGAAATGAAGTAACTACTACATATACGCCAAATTATACAACAAAACACAACAAACAACCCCTATAGAAGGCCCCACCCAGGGAGGATGGTAAACAGAAACGTTAGCACAACGTTTGCTGAACGTTGTCAAACTCACGTACCCGGCCCAGAGATATCTGTATGGGCCCAAAATGTAATGATAGGACCTCGCAAGTGAGAAGAAAGGATGCCACTTTTTCACTTTTACTCAAGATAACAGCAATATAAGGCCATTGTCATCAAGATCTCCGATAATCAAACTTAAGAAAGTGGTACGGGTACTTAGTCTGTTTAGCAAGTCTTATAAGAATATAATATTCCTTTGGAAGAAGTGTAGAAAGCGATCCTCAAGACTGTGTCAAGAAATCAGCCAATCAGATAAGAGCAACATGATTAAATATACATGGAATTCACGGTTGATTAAACAAATGTGAGGAGATTATGTAATAAGTTTTACCTAGCAAGTCTAATGAAAACTCATTTGTTCCTTCAAAAGGCAGTATGCGAAAAAACATTCAGTCTTTGTGCCGAAGGTAACAAGTGTACCAACCAAGTTTCGTTAAAATCAAACCAGTCCTTCAAAAGATATCGGACGGACGGACGGAACCCATTTGAATATTCCCTGCCCAACAAATAATGACGTAGTACACATACCTTTTTTGTCGTCGAGACTTGGCTGTTCCCTGGACAACACACACGATACATAAGAGTACCATGACGACGACAGCACCCACACCGACCAACACGCCAATCAGAATCTTTGTTTCGTCAGTCATACCTTCGTCAGACGGGGCTTTGTCTGAAGCAATATTGAACGATACGTTTTATAAGAAGCGGAGAAATCTGTAAAAGTGTTTTCACCGAAGTTCTCGCTTTAGTAAAAAAGGGTTTTTTTTTTGTTATCCATACAGACATTCGTAGGAGCTGTTATTTAAACAAGTAGTGTTTATCACGGAAGATTTATCAGAATTTATTTAAAAGATGACAAAATTTATGTTTCGAGCACCGACAACAAAGGGATCTACAAAAAGTATTTCACACACGGAAAAATACTCTCCACCAGAAATGATTTTTAATAATGTTTATATATAACAGAGTGAAACCCTATCATCACGATACAAACAAACCTGTACAGTAAGGGATGGTGTTTACATTCCACGTTCCGTCCGACTGACACGTGACTTTGGACTGACCATTGAGGACGTATGGAGAGTAACAAGACAGTGTTACTTCTGTGCCCTCTGTCCGGTTGTACGATGACAAGACCAGCTGTTTGTGGTTGGCGGAGCTGATGATATCAGGCTGACCGTCTTGGGTGTTCAGTTTAGAGCATTCTGGGAAAATAAACATTAAGCACAACATTGTTTAGACCGTAAGATTCAAACATTATGTAGACCATTTAATTACTTTTAAGAGTTATAAATTAGATTCAATTTGCTGTAAACCATTAAGTTGATACTAAGAGATGTTCCCTAGATTAAAACATTCTGTAGACCCTTAAATTACGACAAATAGTTATACATTAGATTCAATTGGCTGTAAACCATTAAGTTAATACTGAGATGTTCCTTAGATTAAAACATTCTGTAGACCATTTTATGACTAGTACAAGATATTTGTTAAAATCAAGCGTGCTGAAGACCAAGCCCTTCGTTAAGGGACATATTGGATTCTCCAACATTTTATATATACACAAAACCAGTAAATAATTTGTCTTGTAAAATATCAAGTATTCCAAAGATCACCCAGTAAAAGGGCTTTATGGTGCAAATGAGGCAATTAATTTTGATTTTAAATCTGTTTGATTTATTTCCATGGACGAATGTATAGCGAACCTGTCGTTCATTGAGTTACCGTGCTACCGTTCTCCATCCAATATCTAATATTTATCATGTTCATGTTTCATACAGCACAGAATAACAATATTTTAACAGATGTCTTTAATAACGTAATGCAAAATTAAGTTCTCATTTTTTCTTTTTTGTTTTATTTTCAAGATGTTAGGACATATAAACATATATATATAGTATTTATATACACCCACTCACACAACTACACACCATCCATACTCACACACTCAAACATATTTTCTCATTTTTTCTTCTTTGCCTTCATCATCATCATTAGCAGCAGCAGCAAAAATTCTTAAACAGCTTAAATATGTGACCAAACCTGATTGATACATCTCACCAAACATGGTTGATACATCTCACCAAACATGGTTGATACATCTCACCAAACATGGTTGTTACATCTCACCAAACTGATTGATACATCTCACCAAACATGGTTCATACATCTCACCAAACATGGTTCATACATCTCACCAAACATGGTTCATACATCTCACCAAACATGGTTCATACATCTGACCAAACATGATTGATACATCTGACCAAACATGGTTGATACATCTCACCAAACATGATGGATACATCTCACCAAACCTGATGGATACATCTGACCAAACATGGTTGATACATCTCACCAAACATGGTTCATACATCTCACCAAACCTGATTGATACATCTCACCAAACATGGTTGATACATCTGACCTGACATGATTGATATATCTGACCTGACATGGTTGATACATCTCACCAAACATGGTTGATACATCTCACCAAATATGGTTGATACATCTCACCAAACATGGTTCATATATCTGACCTGACATGGTTGATATATCTGACCTGACATGGTTCATACATCTCACCAAACATGGTTCATACATCTGACCTGACATGGTTGATACATCTGACCTGACATGGTTGATATATCTGACCCGACATGGTTGATACATCTCACCAAACATGGTTCATACATCTGACCTGACATGGTTGATATATCTGACCTGACATGGTTGATACATCTCACCAAACATGGTTCATACATCTGACCTGACATGGTTGATATATCTGACCTGACATGGTTGATACATCTCACCAAACATGGTTCATACATCTCATCTAACATGGTTCATACATCTGGCCAAACATTGTTGATATACCTTAAGACTGGCCATGAAAATGCAAACTTCGATAAACAGAATTTACATCACCAACATGCGTAGAAAAACACCCGGAAAATCATCGCATTCACTTAATCGATGAAATTAACGAAAGAAAGATCAACTTAGGGATGTTTTAGTTGTACAGGGAGAATATACTGTGTGTTTTGGGAGGTTAGCCGTTTTTTGTTTATATAAATATATAGAGAGGATAAACTGTGTGTTTTGGGAGGTTAGCCGTTTTTTGTTTATATAAACATACACGGAGAATATACTGTGTTTTGGGAGGTTAGCCGGTTTTTGTTTATATAAACATACACGGAGAATATACTGTGTTTTGGGAGGTTTTCTGCTTCACTGATGAAGATACCCGCCAGGTAAGTTCTCTTCTTGACAACAGATTCTTCGAATTTCGTAGAAGATCTTCCAACAGACTACTGTCATACCTATACATGTGTAACTTATTTTGCCCCTCTGTTGGCTAACTTTGTTCTGAAGAGCTTATCATAAATGTCACAAAGACCTTGTAAATTCTATATTTCGCTTTCCGGAATGTTGATAACGACTTGTTTTTAAATGACAATAACTTCATTAATCACGTAGATCCTATATAATTGAAAATCATGGACATATTCTTCTACATCAGCCACTTATCTCGATATTTTCATAACGAAACTAAGCAGTATGATAAGCGTGATGAATTCAATTTTCCATCGTGAACTTTCCATTTCTGGATAGCAATATTCCTGCATCCAGCCTATGGTATATACATAACGCAGTTAATTCGATGTTCAAGGGCCTGTCCCAAATATCACGATTTTTCATGAAAAATGTCGACAAGGGATAGACAAACTCAAATGCATTATTTAAAGAGATGGAGGTCGGTGGAAACTATGGGGAGGTTTTTCTACCGTCATGGTTATCTCATTGAAAATATTCCATTTCTTGTTCGAAGCTGGACGCGTTCGATGAAAATTAACAACTGCAAAATGGCAATTGATAATCAATAGTAATGAATAACCGAGATGCATTTTACCTTTGAGTCTGTTTTGTTCTGTATTTACTTTTTATAAAATCCAAGTTAGAGGTTAGAGGTTAGAGGTAAGAGTTTAGAGGTAAGAAGACAATTACAGATGATTTGACGCCCCTGGAAACATTAACATGTGACATAATGTAGACTTAATTTTCTAATTTAAATGAAAGGTAAATAATTAATTTCTTGTGACGCGTTTCATGTCTTATATTTATCTATAGTGTCATACTTACCTGTCGCACCTGTTTCTCCTCCATAGATCACGTGATATATAGTATACATTCCAGACTTACCTCCGTTGTATTGAATAGCTACAATGGTAGCGTAGCTAACGTCTGTGCGGTCAAAGTATACAGCCTTTATCATGGATTAGATATGCATATATTATCATAATGAATGCAAGAAGATTTCATTTTTCTTTAATCCATTGATAAGAGCCCAAGGCACACATACATCAATGTATGAATATGTATGTGTTTGTGATATCGCGAGTATTTCTGGAGTACAGGCGCAAAATTCTACTCTCCACACGTAAACAGAAGGTACTTACCTATCATATTGGTTTCGTCACTGCCGGCTTCAGGTGATCAATTGGTCACTTGATGTTGTGCGATTAGTTTCTGAGGGAAAAATCAAAACATTGAATAACATGTATATATATATATATATAACCAGACAGGTGTTAGAGTTAGACAACACCTGGTGAAGTTTCCGCTACTTGTGAAGTAAAATATGCTTCAAAGTGTTGATTGCTTTCTCAAATAACACGAATCCATGTATAACAAAAAGTGAACGAAAGATATAACAACTGCATGCGACATTTTTGTTTATGCAAACAGTAACATAGTTCAACACATACCCTTGACGTTCATATAAAAACCCTGATATATGAAAATTAGGAAATGTATCTTATAATGGGGCTGGTGTACTTCCCTATAAATATTTTGACTTTTCTCTCTATTACTTTGGGTTTTCCACAGTCGCCTCCCAGACTTAAAAATGAAGACCTTAGCATCACTGCCGAGTGCCGAAACAGCTGTATGATGTAGCATCACTGACTAGTCCTAGAAGGACGAAACAGCTGTATGATGTAACATCACTGACGAGTCCTAGAAGGACGAAACAGTTGTATGATGTAGTATCACTGACTAGTCCTAGAAGGACGAAACAGCTGTATGATGTAACATCACTGACGAGTCCTAGAAGGACGAAACAGCTGTATGGCACAGTTTACTACATGGTTTGGCCTCTTTACTTGTGTGTGTTTTGTATAATCATTTGTTCTGGTGATAAAGAGGTAGAAATCTTTTTTTGTTCTTTTTTTTTAAAATCATTTTTATAGTTTATGTAGATCTAATAATGATGAATCACTTGGCCATAAATTTTCTAAATCAAATAACCCGTTAAACTGTACATGTTTTATAAACGTACTGAAGAAGTGAAGTGATTCATAGGATTATCTAATAAAACGAATTATTCACATCACATTGATAACTTAAATATCACGAGGAAACTTTAATGTGTGATGGATATTACACCTGTATCAGAGATACAATGAACAATTTACGGTTTAATCGGTGTGTTACAGTGGCGAAGCCAGGATCTAAAAGGGGGGGGGGGCAAAAATCTGATTCTGTTACCTGAGCTGAGTGTAGTTTGTGTGGTGTTAGTTTCGACAGAATGCAAGTAGAATCGATAAAATCACTGAAATATATGAAAAATACAGATGCAGAAAACTGAAAAATGGGACCCCCACCCCCCCTACCCCCACCCCCCTCTCCCCCCCCTTCCCATAAAAAATACTCAACGGATTAACACGTTTCACAAAAGTCACCTCTGGGACAATTGGGGGGGGGGCAGTTGCCCCCATTGCCTACGCCAGTGGTGTGTTACTACAGGTCGTAATCTTTAATACGAAACTGGTTCACTTTGTCCATCATTATAATGTCAGCATATGCAGAATGAAAACTATGATAAAAAAGAAATGACGCCCAGATAAAAACATATTTCTAGCAAGTGTTGATAGAATTAAGTAATATTTAGACCATAGAAGGAACTGTAGGAGGACACTGTTTTGTACAGAGAGAATTTATGCCATAATAACGTATAACTGACGAAAGATCATACCTGTTAAGTGAAGATTCGCCTCTG